AATTTTTAGGAGGGGGGAGATAATCAGGGTTAAATGACTTACCCAGGGTCACACAGCTAGTAAATGTCTGAGGTCAGATTTGAACTCAGGTCCTCCTGACCAGGGCTGATGCTCTATCCACTGCACCACCTAGCTGCTTCTACTAATAATAATTATTAATGATGTTGATTACTAATAATGAACTGTCATTAATGTCCATTTGCAATTTATGCCCAGAGAAGAAGAGAAGTATAGTAGAAAGAGCATTAGCTTTAGAATGGGAAGACCTGAGTTCAAATGCTGCCCCTCTTACTTAACTCCCTAGGTGGTCTTTATCAAGGGCTTACTCTGTGCCAGGTACCATATGAAGCATCGGGAAGACAAAAATGAAAACAAATGAAAACACCCTTGTCCTCCAAGAGCTTACACTCTGGTGGGAGAAGACAATACCTAATGGGGTGTTAGAAAGAGGGGAGAGACACTGAAGGGCCCTGATTCAGTTGATGTGAGTACTTCTTCAACCTTGACAGACAGCCTGCAACTCCTGCACACCTCAGCAGAAAGCAAATGACTTTGATCTTGGAAGAGCCAGCTTGGGAAGACTTGTATGAACTGATGCAGAGGGAAGCTATCAGAACCCATAGAATGATTTATTCACTAATGACAACATTGTAAAGAAAATCCTGCCTCAGACACTTACTGTGTAATTCTGGGTTCCTCTGAGCCTCCATTTCCTTCAATACATCTGTAAAATGGAACTAATGATACCTGGCACATATACCTCCCAAGGTGAGGCTCATTTCAAATAAGATAAGGAATATAATGTGCCTTAGGAATGTGAAAATGCTATATAAAGGTCAGCTCTAATTTTGATTACTGTTATGGTTAGAGGCGATGTGGGGTAGTGGATAGGGCCAGACTCAGGGTCAGAAAGACCTGAGTCCCATCTCTGATACAAACTGGCTGTGTGACCCTGGGCAAGTCAATTGACTTCTCACCATCCCTAGGCAACTCCAAGACTAAAAGCTATAGAGGAATTGCTAGTTTAATTCAATCAAGGAAATTTCCCTAACAGAAGATCTTTAAGCCAATTAAAGCAGGGATCTGAACAGAGAGAGACAGAGAGACAGAGACAGAGGAAGACAGAGAGAGAGAGGGATGGATGGATGGATGAACGGACAGACAGACAGACAGAGAAAATCTGAAAACAGAAAATGTCAGAGTTGGAAAGGGACTAGATAAGGTCAGAGCTAGGTGAGCCCTTAGAACACAGCTCAATGAGAACAGGGACTAGCTGTTCTTGTCTTTGTATCTTCAGTATGTGGCACAGTGCCTGACATGTTAAGTGTTTAATAAATGTTGAATTGAATTAAACATAGTATGTCTACCTTAAAACACAAAAAAAGTGAGTGGTCATGTACCTTGGAGATCTTCTAATCCAACTCCTTGATTTTATAGAGGGGGAAACTGAGGCCCAGAGAGGTTGAAGGCTTCCTTCCATGGTGTAATCAGTGGCATGGAAGGGATTTGGAAGACAATTCCATTGCTCTTCCTAGCGTGCCAAGACTTCTGGACGATTGGTTGCTTCCCATGGTGCTCTGGGTCACAAAGGGCAGAAACATTCTTTGTGAATATTTTTAAAAGACAGCCATCTCAGAACACACCTCAACTAGCTTATAACACTTCCCCACTCTGGTCCCCCTCCAAGCATAGCCCTACATTCTCTTTCTATAGTCCCATCAGCAGCCAGGTTGATCTCTTGGCTTGGGACTTATCCCTTGCCAAGGCAAAGAAATGAAACCCATAAGGATTGGCTGCAGGCCTAATGGTAACTTCATGTCCTCAAATCACTGACGGTCTCCACTGGGAAGCCTTCCCTAAACATGCTAATGAGATGTGGGCTCTCTGTGTCTCTATCTGTCTCTCTCCTCCTCCCTCTTTCCCTCTTTTCCTCCCACTCTCTCATTATCTCTCTGTCTCTCGCTTCGTCAGTCTCTCTGCCTTTGTCTATCTGCTCTCCCTCTCCCCTTCTCTCCCTCCTCCCTTTCTCTGTCTCTCTCTTTCTCCTTCTGTTTCTCTCCCTTTCTGTATGTGTGTGTGTATATATGTCTACTCCAATACTTTATTGTCAGGATGAGAGCGCTGCCTTATCACATGTGACAACTTTTCATGGGCAGTAACATCTTTCCAAAAGGTCTTGGTTTCTGAACTCCATGAGGACTGGGATTGTGGTTCATGGATCTTTGCAGCCCCAGAGTGCCTTGCACTGTCACATCATAGTCACTGAGGTTTTCGGTTGGCTCTTTCAGACCTGACTGCCCTACCCCAACTAGTTCTGTAACCATGACAAATTGCCCCTTCTCTGAGTTTCATTTTCCTCATCTCTAAAATGCAACCATTAGACTAGGTGATATCACCTCGAGGTCCCTTTTTTTTAGGGGGGGGGGGAGGCAATTGGGGTTAAGTGACTTGCCCAAAGTCACATAACTAGGGCTAGTGCCCTGTCCATTGCACCACCTAGCTGCCCCTGAGGTCCCTTTTTGCTGTGAAATTCTTGGTTCTTAAGTCTCTGCTAGTTCTGGCCCTCTATGATCTAAGCTCCCCTCCAGCTCTGATATCCTCTGTTCTAAAGCCCTTCCTAGCTTTAAAATTCCACGTTCTAAGACCCCTTCTGATGTTCATATTCTAGGACCTCAGCTTCCCTTGAATCTCCCTCATAGAGCCTCCCCATTGGGGTGGCTGCCTGGGGCCTGCTCTTCCATCCCTTCCACCCAAGCAGGGAATACTGCTGAGTGTCACTCCTCAATGGCAGAAAGCGGCTGGGAGGGGTCTGGCCTTTGCCCTTTTCTGCTGTCAAGCTTGCTTGATTTATAGCGGCAGAAACTTGGGGTGCCACCGCCCCTTCTCACTCCTCACCCAAATAGCAGGAACATTTCTGTCATTTCTCTCTTCTGGGTGACAGCTTCCTTTCAGCTTCAAACATCCCATTGCCCAGGGCTAGGCTTGCAGGCATCGCCTCCCCGGAAGCCCCGGGGAAGAGCAGGTTCTTCTGTGTTATATCTTCCTTCTCCCTGGATGTTGCCTCCACCTTCCCCAGACCCAGCTCAGCCCAAGAATCGGTCTGCCTTCACTGGTAAGCTGACCGGGAGACATCTAAGTAGCTGTGCCCAAACTCATCGGCAGATACTGTACCTGAGGTTCCAATCATAATGTCGTGTGTGACCTTCCCATGGAATCGAACCATGGCAATTGGAAAATATCTTAGGATAAAATGTCAGAAGTAGAAAGGACCTTAGAACACAGAATGTCAGAACTGGAAGACACACTAGGACATGGAATATCAGAGCAGGAGGGACCCTAGAATAACAAATTCTAAAGCTAGAAACATTCACTCCAATCTATCTTCAAAACTTATTCCACATAGTTTCCCTTCCCTCACACATTCTAAATTCCAGACCAAGTGACCTATTTACTTTTTCTACTACATGACATTCTATTTCCCAACTCCATACCTTTGCAGAGGCTGTGCCCTTAAATGGTCTCCCTTTTCACCTCCATCTCTTGGAATCCCTATTGCTATCCAAGGTTCTGCTCAACCCTCCTACACAAGGCTTGTTGTGATTCCTCTGATTATTAGTGTTTTTCCCCTGCCTCCTTACTGTCTAACCACTTTGCATTGATTTTGTACGTGTATTTTGTATTCACTTATCTATGTATATGTTGTTCCTTCACACACACACACACACACACACAGCCCCAAAGGGTAAGCTTTTTGAAGATAGTCCCATGCCTGGCACATAGTAAATAGTAATTAATAAAAGCTAGTTGAATGAAATTAAACCTTAAAGCATAGAATGCTAGACCTAGAATGGCCCTTTGGAATCATTTAATCTAAGCCTTTCCTTTTATATATGAGTAAACTGAAGCCAAGAGGGAGAAATCATTTGTCTCAAAATACATAGCAAATTGATGGTAGAACTAGGCTTATACTCTCTTATTAATTAATTAATTGATGAATTAATGAATTTAATTAACTGATGGTATTTTTCTATATTACAGTAACACCTAGGGCCTGCCTCCAACACACCAAATTCTCTGAATATACTTAACAAGGTTGATTCAACAAGTAATTGTTGAACATTTACCATGTGTTAGTCACTGTCAGGAGAGAATCCAAAGAGGAATGATATGGTTTCTGTCCTCACAGAGCTCATAGTCTAGTAGGCAGCCTGAAGCCCAGATACAGTTGGTTAAGACCACAATGTGCTGGGACCCAGATGCTCTTTAGACTGGGAGGTCAGGGAAAGGATGTTTAAATTACCCTTTCTCCCTAATTCCAATCATTCCCTGCCTTTTCCAATTAGATGGCTCAGTGAATAGAGCACTGTCTGGAGTCAGAAAGACCTGAGTTTATATCCAGCCTCAGACACCACACAAGCTATGTGACCTTGATCAAATCACTTGCCTTCTGTTAGCCACAATTTCCTCATCTGTAAAATGAGGATAATAACAATACCTACATCACAGGGTTGTTTTGAGGATTAAATGAGATATTTGTAAAAAAAAAAATGCTTAGTATATATAAATGTTAGTTATTATTATTTGACAAAAATATATTAAGTGCCTACTGTGCTTGAGGTCCTGGGCTAAGCAATGGGGAAAGAAGGGCAAAAATCAAAGTGCCTGCCAGATCTTACATTTCTACATTTTTAGATCTGTAGATGAAGAAACTGAGGCTCAAGAGATTAAATTATTTGCCCAGGATCTCACAGGCCATGCAAGTTGAAGCCAGGACTCCTCCACTATGCCATACTGCATCTCAGAACATTTACTAACTGGGCTGATGATTTCCTACACGCCCAGGAGTGTGCTGGTAAATGATTAACATGATCTCCAAAAATTCACATGCTTTTAGGTTTAATCTGCACCATTAATATTTTCTCCATCATTTTCTTAAGTTTGAAAATCAACAAACAATAAATCAGGGTAGGCTAAGTGTGACCCTCTTGTTTCCTTCCCAGTTTCAGGTCTGTCCGGGTATTGAAGAATGACACAGTCAACTTCCAGAAGTTCTCCTATACCAATGAAGATGAGGCCTGGAAGACCTATCTGGAAAATCCTCTGACTGCTGCCACCAAGGCCATGATGAGAGTCAATGGGGATGAAGATAGCGTCGCTGCCCTGAGCTTTCTCTATGACTACTACATGGTACGGCAGAGTTGGTTGTTAAGATCCCGCTGTGGAAAATGCCTGAGGAAGGCCTGACACCATTGCTAGCTATAACTGCTCCTCTCCTCCACCATCCCCCAGCTTCCAAAGTCCCCTGAGATCTCTCTTCCCATTACACACACTCATTTACCATAATTCCTCAGCATACGCCCTCAGCCCCAGCCAAGACCAGATCAGTAATATGATTGATGCTGCAAAGAGATGGGAGCTCTATCTCTCCAGTGATATGTAAGGCAATCCTCAACCATAGCTTCTCATAAATCATCCATAAAAGATCCATCCAATGTGCTAGGAGGCTTTCCTCTACTTCTCTTGATGGTTCAGGAATACCAATAGAACATTTGAACAGTCCATCAGTTTTATTCCTTGTTAATGTCATGTGACTGATCCATCTTCTTTTCCTGGTCCCCAAATACAGCAGGTTTATCCCATCACCCTCTTCTTTGCCCTTCCCCATCTCATTCTATACTCAATATACCCCCAACCCTAACCACCTGGAATGACCTTCTCTGTTCTTTTAGGCCTTTGTAAATCCTTCCTGTCTTTCAGGACTTGACCCAAAAGTACCTTCCCCCTCCCACTCACCCCCCCCCAAGCTTTCACCAGCAACCCCAGCCCACATTGATCTTCCCTGTTCCTGACCTCCCAGACCACTTTTCATTTGATCACTTGATTATATCTAATTAGGCAGCTAGGTGGTGTGTAGTACATAGAGTATTAGACCTGATGTCGACAAGACCTGAGTTCAAATCCAGGCTCAGATGCTTACTAGCTGTGAGACTCCAACCAAGGTCTTTACTCTCTTTTAGTCTCCTCATCTTTAAAATGGGGTAATAATAGCCCTGACCTCACAGGGTTGTTCGTTAATCAATAAACATTTTTAAGCACCTACTATGTGCCAGGCACTGTGGTTGTTGAGAGGATCAAGTGGTGCAATGTATAAAGCACTTTGCAAACCTTAAAGTATTCTATAAATGCTAGGCTATTATCATTATTATATACTTAATTATAAAATATCTTGTATTGTTCTTCAAGTATGTCAGGTGCCTTAGTCTTGTCTCCCTAGAAAGAAAATGGAAGCTTCTTAAAGGTGTTATTTGTGTTTTATTAATGTCTATATCTACTACAACACCTACCATAGGCATGGTTACATAGTAGATGCTCAGTGGTTGAATGGGTTGATAGATGGACAAATAGGCAGTGAGATAGATGAACAGGGGGTAGATGAGGAATTGATGGATGGATGAATGGATGGATAGGGAGATGAATAGATAAAGGGTATAGGTAAACGAATGGGGAATAGGGAAATGAATAGATGAATGGCTAAATGAATAGTTGGATGAATGAATGATAGTCACTGATTGTGAATAATAGCTAACGTAGAACTTATGTAATTGACCTGATCAGAAATAGAAAGACTGAAGATATTCCTGCCATACAGATAACCCAGCTATAGGTATCGGATACGGACTTTAAAATGCGTTAGATAGATAAAAAATAAATAAAGCATTTATTAAGTGCTTACTGTGTGCTAGTCACAGTGCCAAGTACTGGGAATACAAATAGAAGCAAAGGGAAAGAAAGCCTCTGCCCTCAAGGAGCTTCCATTCTAAAGGGGGAAGACAGCTGGTAAAAACAAAGATGAACGGGGGTAGGGAGAATGGGAAAGGCAGCCAGGTGGTCTGGGATATTGTGGTTTGAAGAGAACATTCTGGCTGGTATGGAGATGGGATCTGTGTTAGCTCCTTGCTTGCCCTGAGTTGAGTGGCTGTGATGAGGGCTAGAACAGAGGGATTTATTCTGAAGAAGATTCTCATGTTCTGTTAAGCCCCCAGAAAGCGTGAGGTGAGGTGTGAATTTCACCTAGTCCCTTCCCACAGATCTGAAAGTTCCCTAAAGCTCAATACCATCTGCTCTCTTCTTCAGGGCCCAAAGGAGAAACGGATCCTCTCTTCAAGCCCAGTCACACGAAGTGACCTAGGAAAGAGGTGAGAAGATGCCAGCTCCCTGCCTGACCCCTCCCTCATTCCTCTGTCCTGGAGAACAGTCACAAAATCTGGAATCAGACGACCTGAGTTCAAATCCCAACTCTTGGTACCTTGGTAGCCTTTGTCCAACCACTCCCCCGCTCTAGGCCTCGGTTTCACCATCTATAAAATGAGGGGGTTGGACTAGATGGTCACTTAGGTTCCTCCCTGCTTCCAATCCTATGGTTTTTCCTCTCCATCCTTTCCCTTCTTTCCACCTCCTTCCCAGCACCAGCCAGGTGCCAGAAGGAAGTAAGGCCTCTCTGATTTGCATAAAGGCAAGTTAAAAGCCTGGGAGGGAAGTCTTTCATGACTCCTGGGAAATGATATCATGGACATAGTAATATATAATGCAATATCATGGAGCTGAGTTGGGAGCTGCCCAACTGCCCAACCATCAGGAAGGCTTCTTGTGGGAGGTGGCATCCAAACTGAACTTTGAAGAGGAGTTGGAAAAGTATTCCAGGCTTGGGGGGAAAGGACTTCCCTTTGCCCTCCATTGGCTATGTACCATGACCCTTTTGTCACTACACTTCTCTCTGGGCCACTAGCTCTTGGCTTCTGTCTCTCTGGACAACTCTCAGTTTCTATTTTGGTGTCTGGGACCAAAACCTGCCTCTTTGGTTCCAAGCCTGGGATGCTCAGGGAGAAATGGTCAGGCTGGGGCATACGTTTGCCTGTGATCCCTCTAGCTTCCTGAAGGATGTCCCTGGAGAGCTCCACTCATCGTCAGCCAGGCCCTATAAGGGTGCCCTTCCTATACCAAGGCCTATCTCTTTTTTGTCTTTCTATTCCCAATTATGCCTAGCATAGTACCAGGCAAATAGCAGTAGCTTAATAAATACTTGTTAACTCATTGATTGATAGTTGGTACTTAAATATTTGTTGAATGAATGAGATACAGCTTCTTCCAGAAGAAGTCATCTCCCAAGTCTTTCCCCCAGGTACCACCATGGGATGGAATACGAAGCAGACTTTCCCCCTCTGGAGAGCCCCACCCATCTCATGAAGTTCTTGACTGAAAACGTCTCAGGGACACAAGAGTACCCAGACCTAGGCAAGAAGAACAATCTGATGAGCTTGGAGAGTACTGGAGCAGCCTCAAACAAACCAGCCCTCCTCCCTCCCGGCCCCAGCAAGCTGGAGGACAACTCAGCAGATGGCAGCTACCTGCTTCCTGCTGGAGACATGTATGATGGCAGCCTCAACAACCTGTTTGAGACCATCCATGGGCCCCCACCCCAGCAGCGCTGGCAGCCTGACAGCACATTCAAGGATGATGGGCAGGAGGTAAGCTCCACGTGGGCCCCATGCACAAGCTGGGAAGACAAAGCAGGAGTCCCAGAACATTAGGGCCAGGAGGGGACTTGATGATAAAGGATGGAGGTAGTGACCCTGTGCACTCCCCTGGGGGAGGGATGTGGCAGCTACTTAATTAGATAGGAGTTAAGAGGGAAAGTGTGGTCAGAGCATCAAAACCATCATTAAACATAATCACGGCTCCCATTTCTAGAGAGCCGGAAGATTTAAAACACACTTTCCTTGAAATTCGGGGAAGTAGGGACGATAAAGATTTGCATTCCCATTTCAAAGATGGGAAAGCTAGGGGTCAGAGATAGGAAGGAACTAAAAACTTTTAGAGCAGGAAGGAATCACCTAGTCCATTTTACAGGTGGAGAAACTGAGGCTCAGAGAGATTTGTCACTTGCTCAAGGTCACACAAGTTACAAAGTCAGGATCTGAACCCAGGTCCTCTGACTCCAAATCCCCTGGTTTGTTTTGTTTGTTTTTTATTACATGATACTGCTTTCTTGTCTAAGGCTATAGAAAGAGTTAGGTGGTCTCAAACTCAAGTCTCTGAACTGATTCAGGGGTCTTCCCATCTCCCCTGGCATAGCAAATAGACTTGGGGGCCTTTTTTTGCCTCAGGCCTTGATTTGTCAAATAATACAATCCCTTGATACTCCTCATACCTGTAGTGGCTCAGATAATGTGCAGAGAGGGTCCATGCTATGAGGGAAACTGGTGGGTGGAGGTGAGGTTGGAGGGAGAAGGTGCTTTGGGATCCACAGAAAACCAGCGTTGGAGCCAGTCACTCATGGCCCTCCCCTGTGATTGTATCTCCCTTTAGTCACTGCTTTTCCCTGATATCTTGAAAAGCCCCTCGGAGCCCCAATGTCCAGAGGAGTACCCCGGCAGTAAGAGGTAACAGAAGTGAGCTTAGCCCTGTGGCTAAGCTAGCCATGGAGTCCTTGGTTGGTGGGGTGGTTGAATGAAAGATGTTCATGGACTTAATAAGCAAAAACCTCCCCTCCATTATTGTTAGCCAAACCCTTCAGCTCCTTCCCCTGTTAGGCCTTTTCCTTATAATCAGAGAACAGAAAATGTTAAAAGTGGAAAAAAAAATATTGATATATAGGATGTCAGAGCTTGAAAAGTACCCTTGGAAAAGAGAATGTCAGAGCTGGGAGGGCCCTTAGAACACAGAATGTCAAAGCTGAAAGGGGTTTTAGAACACGGGATATCAGAGGCAGAGGGAACCTTAGAACACAGAATGTCAGAGCTGGGAGGGCCCTTAGAACACAGGATATCAGAGGCAGAGGAAACTTTAGAACACAGAATGTCCAAATTGTAAAGGGCCTTAGAACTTAGCATGTAAGAGCCGGGAGAGACCTTAGAATACAGAGTTCTAGAATATCGACGTCAGAAGGGATGGATCTTAAATATGCCAGATGTTTCTCATTTTATGAATGAACAAACTAGGATCCAGAAAGCCAGAGTAACTGCCCAAGGTCACAGGGTAATTAACTGGCAAAGCTGGGAATAGCACCCCAATCTTTGGCCTCTTAGTCCAGAATTATTTTGAGAAGTCCACTCTCCATGAAACTGGGAGATTGGTGCCCTGAGCAGACCTGTGCTGGGGCCCACAATAGCCTCTTCTGTCCACTCCATAGTTGGAAGACCTCTGCTCAGAGCCTGCAGAGCTCACACCCATTCATCCAAGAGCTCAGAGCTCTCCTTCACCACCACTCCCACCCCACTAGAGAATGCAGGAGGGAATGAGGAATAGATTGCACTGTGGAAGAGATTCTGATCCTGCCAGGCCTTTAGATGGACATTGAAATCCTTCTGGCCTGAGGCCTCCTGACTCTGTCTTTATCCTCCCCAAAGTGACTTTGAATATACCCTGGGTTCCCCCAAAGCCATCCACATCAAATCTGGGGAGTCACCAATGGCCTATCTCAACAAGGGACAGTTCTACCCAGTTACCCTGAGGACTCCAGGAGGAGACAGATGCCTGCACCTGTCTTCCAACAAAGTGAAGGTCAGTGGGCCCCTGTTGGGTATCATGGGATTGGGAAATAAGGCTGTCAAATGCACAGGAATGGTTAGGTAAAGTGAGACTAACCAGGGCAGCTATGGGAAGGTTGGAATTTGCCTTCAGGAATCTGAGGAAACCTCCCAACATAAAGACTTAGGGATGTAGATTCCTGAATACTCAGGGAGAAGTTGGATTGGATGACTCTTCCCACTCAGAGTTTCTACAACTTGTCTAAATGTATTATAGGGAAACTGAGGCACAAAGGGATGGAGCCATTGGATTTAGGTCATGGGCTGGTCTTCTGACCTAGACATGTCTAAACAAAGAACGCTAGAATGAATCACTAAATTCCAATAACCTTGACCTTTTGGCCTCCTGCCAATTGGTGGCTGGTGAGGGAACCCAGTGATGGGACAGGATGCTTGAGGCCTGGCCCCTCAGCACTGACAAGGGCTACTTTGCAGAGCATGATTATGGTGGTGTTTGACAACGAGAAGATCCCCATGGAACAGCTGCGGTTCTGGAAGCATTGGCACTCCCGCCAGCCCACAGCAAAGCAACGGGTCATTGATGTGGGTGAGTAACCAGCTCCTCCCCCACAAACAAATGCCACAGCAGAGACACCCCAGCCTATCCCCAGGACGGCCCATTACTAGAGGGCCAGGGGTGGAAGGCAAGGGGAGGGAGCAGGAGCCAGGAGATAGGGCGGGATGCTTCCGATCGAGGTATCTCTTTCAGGGCAAGAGCCTTTAGAGACAGTGTGGCCCAATGGAATAGACACTGGCCTTCGAGTTTGAGGAACTAGGTTTAGTCCTGCTCCACCACTTACTGGCTCCAAGACACAACCACTAAGCAGCTATGGGCCAGTGGCTATGTCTGGTTTTTTGCAGATAATGAAACAAACCCAGAAAAGGGAAGACCCATGCTCAGGGTAACAGCTAGGATGAATGGGAGCCAGGCCAGGGTAAATACTCTGGGCCCCCATGAACCCCTGGAAATAGACACAAGTGCCAAGTTTGTGGCCAAGCAAGAACTCAGGTCTCCTTCTAATGAGATCTCTGTCTGCTGTGCCAGGGGTCTCCATCCGTTACTAGGGAGGGAGCTTGTGAGGGACAAGTGAGATGTGGTATGCTCCCAGTTCTGACATTTTATGTTCTCAGGTCTTTTCCAGTTGACATTGTGTATTCTAAGGTCCCTCCCAGCTCTGACATGCCCTGTTCTAAGGCCTCTTCCATCTTTGACTTTCTATGTTCTAAAGTCCCTCCTAGTTCTGACATTCTATGCTCTGAGATCCTTTCCAGCTCTGACATTCTATGTTCTAAGGCCTCTCCCCGACCTGACATTCTGTATTCTAAGGTTTTTTTCCAATACTAATTCAATGTCCTAATTTGACAACCAGCTATTTCTTGTCCCTTAAGGTCCCATATCTGACAGAGCCAGACTTCGACCCAGGTCTCTTATCCTCTCAAGAGCAATCTTTCTACTATGCTATATGTTCTAAGTATGGGGAGGAAGAAACCCACTCCCAAGCTAGGCCTCTTGTCCCAGCTGTTTCCTAGTGGGCTTTCTCTCCCCACTGGAATCACATGGCTCTGTTTATCCCAAAGCATCACAAAAAAGAGGGTAGCTGCTTCCAGTAAACAGACATAGAGTGGAAAACTTGCTGGGATAGTTGATGACCTGGGGAGGGGAGCTAGACTGAGGGGCTCACGGCCAGATTTGCTTTGGGGTCAGATGGAGCATGGGAGCTCAGGGGAAAGGGAAAAGCCAGTGTCAGAGAGGAAGTGGCAATGACCAAAGGAAGACATAGAGGAGTGACATCAGCAGCAGAGATGACTTCTGTTTGAGCAGGAATTGATATTTAGGGTCATAGGATCTAAAAGTAGAAGAGACTGTAGGGTACAAACTATCAGATCTGGAGGACCCTTGGAACATGGAATGTCAGAGCTGGGAGGGGTCTTAGAACACAGCATTAGACCTAAGAATATCGGGTGACAGAAAAGCATGAGATTTGGAGTTAGAAGATTTGCCTTCACATTTTCTCTCTGTTAACTTAACCTCCCTGGGCCTCAGTTGCTTCGTCTATTAGATGAAGAAGTTAGACTAGATGCCTTCCAAGGGCCCTCCCACCTCTGCCATTTTGCTTTGTTTCTTGGGTTGCCAAGGACAAATGAACCCGTTGCTAGGTGCCTTGCATCCTAGGGATGTGCCTGTCCCTACTGAGCTAGGTTGGTCTTCAGGAAATAGACTGTTACTGGAGCAAAAGCTATGCCAGAGGAACTCTAAGCCCCAGCAGGTTCTACCAGACCTAGAAAATGGAGAAAATGTTTTTGCTGTATACTTAGCAGGATTCGGGTAAGGGCCAAATTAGATGACCGATCTAAGTATTTTGGCATGAGTCATTATTAGAGATGTAGTCAGCCCCCACACTGGAAGAAAAGCCACCCTGTATGACCTCGGGGAGCTTACACTCTAATTCCAGGGAATATTAGAATCTTATTTTAGAGGCATCAGTGAAAAGGACACAGAATTTGGAGTCAGAGGGACTTTGTTTCAAATCCCAGCTCTGTCAATTGCTACCTCTGTGACCTGGAGCAAGTCATTTCATCTCTTTGTGCCTCAGTTTCCCTACCTGCTAAATGAAAAGATTGAACTAGATGGCCTCTAAGCTTCCTTCCAGTTTTAAGTCTAGGATCCTCTGACTTCATAATATATTTATATAGTGCTTATCATCATAATAATAATAACTGACATCTATACAGGAATTAAAATTTGCAAAGCACATTCTCATCGCATTCAGACTCACAAAGCCCTGTGAAGTATTAGCTACAGATAATATTATCCCTATTTTACAGCTGAGAAAACTGAGGCTCAGGTCATGTGTCTCATCATATATAATCATATATCTCATATCAGAGGCAGGATTGGAACTTGTGTCTTCTGGGTTCCAAGTCTTCCTTCCAATCACTCATTCCATCAAGGATTTAAAGCAGGAAGGACCTAGAGATCATCTCAGCCAACCTCATTTTAAAGGGGAAGGGACTGGCCATTCCTGGGCCAGAAATCCACATCTCTAGACACTTGGTCCATTTTGCTTCCCACTACACTGAGTTATATTCTCACTCAAGGCCAGACACTACCCCTCCTTCTCAGTGGTTTGCTGTGATTCTAGGAAGGAAGAGGGATAGAAGCAGCAGGGGGCCTTCTTCCCAACTCTGCTTCTGGACCTTTACTGTGTTTACACACACGTACACACACACATACACACAATCCCAAAAGTAGAAATATGAAAAATATAACTTCTCCTTACAAAACAATTGGGGAAGTTAGGTTCTAGCGAGGTACCTTGTGCTGATCAGTTCTCCTTGCTGGGTCCATCTAAATCACTGTGTTTAGTAAACAAGATTGCCTCAGAGATGTAGAGGTGGTCCTTGGTAAGAGAGGCTGGGGCCAAGGCCGTGGGTGTGTCCCAGTTTCTGAAGGCTCCACCCCATGAATCACTCCTAACCTGGCTTCATCTCATTTTCAGCGGATTGCAAAGAAAACTTCAATACCGTCCAGCATATTGAGGAAGTGGCTTATAATGCGCTGTCTTTCGTGTGGAATGTGAATGAAGAAGCCAAGGTCAGTACTCATGGGTAGAATTGAAGAGCAGGGAACAGAGAACCATAGAAGGTTATCACTGGAAGGTCATGGTTGGTCATTATGTCGATCAGAATAGAACAAAAAATATTAAACATGGAATGTTAGAACAGAAACTGTAAGCATTAGAAAGGACCTCGTTAGGACATACAGTGTTATGACATGGAATGTCAGAGATGAAAGGAACCACAGAATGTTACTGCCAAAAGGGTTGTTTAAAAATACAAAGTTAGAACATAGAATGTGAGTGTTAGAAGGAATCTTAGAACTTAGAATGTCAAAGCTAAAGGGGTCTCCAGAACCAGAACCAGAAAAGACTTCAGAAACCAGCCAATTCAGTCCCTTCATCTTATGGAGATCCAGAACACTAAGGCCCCTAGGTGGGAGAAATAATATAGTTAAGGCCACACAGCTTGGTTGGAGGAGAGGTGAGACTAGAACCCAAATCTTCCATGGGTTATTGTTTGGAAGGGAAATGTTTAACCCTAGGGAGAACTTCCTGGATTTGCCCTCATCAAGTCTCGGTTCTCACTGTATCCTAGAAACACATAGAATTCACTTTCCTCCGATTCCCTTTTAGGAGCCAACTGCCTAAATTTGTGAAACAGTTACACATCTTTTTTTTTTCCATAATTGACATGATTTTTTTTTTAGGACACATTAGACAAAGCAGGGGGTGCCACACTTTCTGCCTTGGGAAGGCTTTCAAGTAGCAGATTAGACCTGGTTCGGTTCCAAGATAAGAATCCCCACCCTACACTCTCAGACCTGGAGAGATAAAATGCAAAAAGTGAAGGACTTTGAAGACCAGTGCATCATGGGAATTAGAGTTAGAAGGGCCCTGTTTAGCCATAGTCATCTGAGTAGTATCAGAATAGGAATATGAACCCCAGTTATCAGATTCCAAGTCCCACGTTCTTCCCACCATACCCCATTGACCCTTAGAATTCTAATACTTGGCTCTACCTTAGGGTTTAGAGTGCTGGTCTTAGAATTAAGAAGACCTGAGTTCAAATCCTCCCTTAGATACTTGCTAGCTGGTTAGGTATTGTCCTTTATGCTCAAAGAGGACCAAAATGACATCACTACATCAGGGTCAAGGTACAGCATATCTGACTATGGCTGATCAGACCAATATGATCTCATAAGGGTCTACCACAGGTTGGGCACAAATAGTCCACATGAACATTTGGAGTACAGATGTCTCTACATTTGCACATCTCACGTTTCTTTTGAAACTTACTAGCAGTATAATCCTGGTGACACTTATCCATCAGCCTCAGTTTCCTCCTCTGAAAATGGGGATGATAACAGCACTCACTTCACCAGGTTGTTGTAAGGATCAGATGAGATGATCAATGTGAAATACCTTTTCAACCTTAAAATTCCGTGTTAACATTGGCTCTCATTGTTATTAACTGTGTGACCATGGGTAAGTCATTGAACCACAGGTGAGGAAACTGAGAGGGCCAGAGAGCTTCAGGGACTTGCCCACGGTTTTTCAGATAGAGTAGGGATTCAAACCCAAGACCGCTGACTCCAAATCCAGGGTTCTCTCCATTCCAACCCAGTGCCTAGCTGCCTAAATCATAGATTTAGAAGTGGAAGAAACCTCAGGGGGCCATCTAATGTGACCCCCTTGTCTTATAGGTGAGGAGGCTGAGGTTCATAGAGGCTGAGTTGCCTAAGTCACATAAGTAGTAAATGACAAAGGCAGAATTTGAACCCAGGTTCCCCCTACCCACTCCAAAGCCTGTGTTCTTTCTCCAGTACCATGTTGCCTCTGAAGTTCTAATGCTGATGGCTCTGTCATTTACTCAGTGACTATGTGCAAGCTCATTCCACTTGCTGGAATGAGTTATGAAAAAGTGGCTACATCATTTTGAAATGCTATGGAAATTATTAAATGAGATAATTAACGAGAAGGCTGGGGGAGAGGTGGGGAGGAAGGCTGGAAGTTGCTCTGTAGAGGAGAGGGTTGACACTTGTTTAAACAGATGGTTGTGTGGGGAGTGTCAGGAAGCCTTCCTCTGCCTCCCCTGCCTTTCCCTCCCCTTCCAGATGTAGAACAGCCCACAGCTGTCTCGTCTCTTGGCTCACAGTGGGGTGGAAGAAATTGAAGGGAAGGTGGGTTTCAATTGGGATTTTCTCCCAGACCTCAGAAGGCCCTGAGGGGACCTGGGCCTTTTACAAGCCAGAGATTTTAACACATTTCTTTCAGTCCCAAGCTGTCTGAGGGGAAGGTATGCTTGGCATGTTGACCCCCAAGGCCACCATCAAGAGAATAGCTCCCCGAGACAAGAAGCACCAGGTGGCCTGAGGTGGACCAAGGGGATTGGGGGAAGGAGTACGGGGGAGGGGGCAGGGTAGGAGTACAGAGGGCAGGGATGCACCAGGCAGGAGATAGGGGACCTGAAACAGGCACCAGGAGCTGCCCAGGAATCACTAGCCCCTATGTCTGAGGGAAATGTCACTGGTTCTCATAAAGAGGTAGTCTGGACTTAGGATTTCATTGGTATGGCCAAATCCCTTCCTGTGATACAAATCAGCAAGTTATCTGTTCTTTATAATCATAGACCGGTGACTGGTTTTGAGGGATTAATTGACTTGTCCAGAGTCAAACGACCAGTATGTGTCAGAGGAAGGCCATGAACCCGGTCTTCCTGACTTGAAGACCAGCTGCCTATTCACCACATCACACTTCCTTATCACTATTATTTAATAATAATAATAGGAGGTGCAGCAAGGCAAACTGGGTAGAGAGCCGGCTTACTTCAAAGACCATTCAGTGCCCAGTCCTCTCATTTTTACACATCTGTAGACTGAGGCTCAGAGAACACAGTGATAATAATACTTACACAGCCCATCTCCCAGGGTTGCTGTGAGCAAAGTGTTCCAGCAGCCTGAAAAGGTTATAGAAATGGAAATGGTGTTATTTTGGCTTCCCTTCCTCCTTGGAGAAATGTTGGGTTGTGCTGGAGAATCTAGGAGGTTTGAGCTGGAAGGGACCTTGGAGGTCATCTTGTTGAAGAGGATACTGAAGCTGAAGGAGAAAAAAATCTTGTCCAAGCTCACACATTGAATTAGTGATGGGGTCAGGACTATGATCCAGGTCTCCTGACTTCCCATCCAGGGCTTTTCCCATAATTCTATGCTGTTTTTAATGGCAATCCCTTTAGAAATTGGAGAATCCCTGGGCCCCTGGACCCCTAGGGTCAACCTTGAGGTCAAGTGCAAAACCTAAAATGCCTCAACCTTGGGAAGCCCACTCACCTCTTCACCTCTCCCCTCTCCCCCCAGGTGTTCATCGGAATCAACTGCCTGAGTACAGACTTCTCCACCCAGAAGGGGGTAAAAGGCGTACCACTAAATCTCCAGATCGACACCTATGATTGTGGCACAGGGACAGACCGCCTGGTACACCGAGCTGTCTGCCAGATCAAAATATTCTGTGATAAGGTAATGGGGGCTCAGAGTGATCTGGAGACTGATACCTCCCACACCCCCATTCTCCTTGTATCTGGGGAAATCAGAATGCTCCCTCCTAGACTCTGTCTTCCCCTAGTAAGCACAACTTGGGCTGGGTCAGGGCTAAGGATTTTTACAGTATAGAAAATTAGCACTCAGGGAACCTTATAACAGAATATCAGAATTGGAAGGGCCCATAGAATCCAGAAAGTCAGAGCTGGGAGGGCACTTAGAACCCAGAATTTCAGAGCTTGGAGGGCCCTTAGAACAGAGAATATCAGAGCTGGGAGGGCCCTTAGAACCCAGAATGTCAGAGCTTGGAGGGCCCTTAGAACAGAGAATATCAGAGCTGGGAGGGCCCTTAGAACCCAGAATGTCAGAGCTTGGAGGGCCCTTAGAACAGAGAATATCAGAGCTGGGAGGGCCCTTAGAACTCAGAATGTCAGAGCTTGGAGGGCCCTTAGAACAGAGATTATCAGAGCTGGGAGGGCCCTTAGAACACTGAATGTTAGAACTAGAAAGGATCTTAGAGACCACCTAGCCCAACCCCTTTTTTTTATGGAGGAGGAAACTGAAGCCCAGAGTCCAGTCACACAATTGTTAATAGATGACAGCACCTCAAACCCAGGTCTTCTGACTTCTAAACCTATAGATCTTTCTGCTATACTATAATGTTGTTTCTGTGTGTGTATTTGTGGGGGTGGGGTGGGTGGGAGTGTGTGTATGTGGATTGTGGATATGGATGTACATGTGTATCTTGTCACCCCAGTTAGAATGCAATCTCCTTGGCCAAGTCTTAGCCTTGTATCTCTCTTACACCCTTTAGCTCACTCTGCTCACATATTAGGCTCTCCACAAATACTTATCAACCTGCTGTTATCCTTTGAGAAGACAGGGCTTCATCCCCTCCCACTCTTCAACATCCCTGCCAGCTTTTTGCCTTAGAAGACATGGTCTTCCCCCATTAGCCATTCTGCCCTGAAAGTTGACCCAGAAGGTGGGGCAGCTAGAGATTTCAATGGGGAAGTCACTGCTGGGGCTGGGGCTGGGGCTAGGATACTATCACAAGGGCTGGGTTGGGCTGAGCTGTCATCATTTCCTGGTCTTGCTCTATAAAGAAAACATGACATGGTGGTTTACACACATTGTAAGATGCAAAACAGCAGTTATGAAAGCAAACAGCCCTTTGCCCCGGGTGGTTTGGTGACTCTCATTTCCTCACACAGGGTGCAGAGAGGAAAATGCGGGATGATGAACGCAAACAGTTTCGGAGGAAAGCCAAGTGCCCAGACTCCAGCAACAGTGGTCAGTATGATGCCTGGGGGTAGAGCAGCTGGTACCTCCTCCCCATATACAAGTGCTAGGGGTTCACAGATTGCCTTTGGGGGGACAGGGAGGGGCAGGGATCAGAGATGGGAGCTTGGATAAAAATAGGGGCTCCTTGACTTCTCTTAGCAAGACCCTCCATGTCCTAAGTAGAGTCACCCAGGGTAGAGAGTGTAGAATCATGGAACCATAAAATGTTAAAAACTGAAAGCAACCTTACAACATACCAGATTAGCAGATTAGTATGAATACTATTGGGCAGCTAGGCAGCACAGTGGATAGAGGGCCAGTTGTGGAGTCAGGGAGACCTAAGCTCAAACCCAGCCTCAGATGCTTCCTAGCCATGTGACCCTGGGCAAGTCACTTAACCTCATTTGCCTCAGTTTCCTCATCTGTAAAATGAGTTGGAGAAGGAAATGGCAAACTGCTCCAGTATCTTTGCCAAGAAAACCCCAAATGGGGTCACAGAGAGTCAGACATGACTGAACAACAACAACAACATTGAATGCCATTCAAATTAGAAAGGGCCTTAGAACATAGAATGTTGGCTTGTAGGTGGAACTGGTAGGGTCTTTAGAACACAACAGGTCAGAGTGAAAAAATATGAGAGTTCAAAGGAGCCTTAGAATATAGAATATTAGCATATAAAATGTTAGGGTTCAAAGGGTTCTTAGAATAAAGAATGTTGGCATACAGAATATCAGAGCCAGAAGGGTCCTTAGGACAAGAAATGCTAGCATGTTGAATGTTAGAGCTATAAGGGACCTTAGAACATAGAATATTAAAGCTGGAAAGGATCTTGGAACATAGAATGTCAGATCTGAAAGGGAATTTAGAACACGGGAAGTCAAAAATGAGAAAGGCCTTAGAAAAATAAATAGGATGTTAACTCTGGAACCTAGGTCTACACTCCTTCATTTCACAAAAGAGGAAATTGAGCCCTAGAAAAGAGAAATTACTTATCCATAGTCACACAATGAATTAGTTCATACTAGAGATAGGATTAGAAGTGAGCTGACCCATGGTTCAGGACTCTTTCTACCTGCCTCTGCTCATTACTGGAGCCAACTTCTCAGGACTAAATTGGTTTCTCCTCAGCAGGTCTCAAGGGCTGCCTACTCTCCAGTTTCCGAGGTAATGAGACCACTTACCTACGGCCAGAATCTGACCTGGAAAGCCAGCCTGTTCTCTTCATCCCCAACATCCACTTCTCCAACTTGCAACGGAATGGCATGGTAAGGGTCAGAGAGTGGGTCCAAGCAGCCCAGGACCTGAGGCTTGAAACCAGAGAGACATCTTCATGAGTTCAAATCCAGCCTCAGACACTTCCTAGCTGTGTAACCCTGGGCAAGTCACTTAACCCTCTTTGCCTCAGTTTCTTAATCTGTCAAATGAGTTGGAGGAGGAAATGGTAAATCACCCCAGTGATCATTGCCAAGAAAAGCCCAAATGGGGTCACAAAGAGTCCCACATGACTGAAAAATGACTTAACAACAATGAATGGTAATAATAATGGAATGATGCGAGCACATATGCAAAGTGCTTTGCAAACCTTGATGTGTTATCATTATTATTATTATTATGGGTCTATTCTCCCCTTCCTCCTCTATTATATTCCCTACATGGAGGCCCTCAAACGGGCCGGTGAAGAAGGCAATCCCTGGGGCTGGGAGAAACCTCTCATTCCCTCTGAGGACAGAAGCACGATTTAAATTATAATCCAAAACTGAGTAAATTAGAAGCTGGTCATGATGAGGAATAAAGATTTCTCTGGAAAGTTAACATCTCAGTGTGGAGAAGCCAGGACAGAGGCTTCTAGGGAGTGAGGAGACGTGCTACCTGGGACGTCACTGGAATGACACAATCAGCCTCCCTGAGGCCACAGCGGCAGCATGTGGTGACAGGTTGGCAGGGTCCCAGGCAGCCTCCTGACTCAGCCCTATCAGGGAGGTTATGGGTTCAGACAGCTCCATATGGTGACTTACAACATATGTTTATGAAATGTCTGGCCAAGTTTAAGGTGTAGCATCTGCAGCCAGGTTCAAGGAATGAGCTTTTCAAAGCAAACTGAAGTTATCAGGCCTTACAAGTCTCAAAGTTATGACTGTGCCTTCATGAATACCTTCTCACAAGCATGGAGAGAGGGGGTTGGGGGAAGGGGGGAAGCATAGCCAGAGGTCAGGGGGAAAAGATCTGAGGGCTTTACTTGACCACAAAGTCAATAGAAGTCAACAATATTACCTGGCCACCAAGAGAGTAAACTTCAGCTACATTATTACGAATAATAACAAAAACAGCATTTCTGTAGCACTCTAAGGTTTGCAAAGTACCTTATGTCTATTATCTCATTTGATTATCACAACAGCTCTTTGAAGCAGGTTGCTATCATTATCCTCATTTTACAGATGAGGAAACTGAGGCTGAGAAAATTTGTGACTTGTCCATTGTCACACAGCCAATACGTGTCTGAGGCAAAGTTTGTTGTCTGGTCTTCCAGACTCTAAATCCAATGCTCTGCCCACTGCTTCAGATAAAAAGTCTGGAACAAAAGTTGCGTGCTGTCCTCTGTTACAATCAGATTCCTCTTCTGGCTTATTGGGTTCCATTCCGGGCATCACATTTTCGGATGGATATTGACCAGTGTTTAGAGGACGATGTCCAGGAGAGTGAAGGGTCCAGAGGTCATGCCATGTAAGAACTGATCAAAGAAACTGAAAATGGTTAGCCTGGAGGAGAGAAGACTTGGGTGGGCTGGGAGTAGGGATGATAGCTATCTTTGAGCATTTAAAGTTCTGTTGCAGGACAGAAGGAGTGATGGGGAGGAGTTACAGAGAGATGAGCGTAGGATTTATGTAGTGAAACACAAGTGATATTCTAAAGTGGGATTTGCCTTGGGAGAAGGTGGTGTCCTCTTCACTGGAGGTCCCTCGCTTATGGGTGATGTTCTAGAACAGTGAGTTGCTAAGTCTTAGAGAGCTGCCCTGAGGCTCCAGGGTCATGTATCTAGCAAGTGTCAGAGGCAGAATAGGATCCCAAGGTTTCCTGACTCCAAGCACAGTGTTCTAATCATTATACCAGGCTGCCCCAAGTGGATATCCTTCACTGATATAATGGAACACATCTTTCTTTTTGCATTTGTAGGCTGGTTCTCCTACTATCCACAATGGCACAAACAGGTATGAAGAACATAGTTCCTATTACTTCTCTCCTCCTCCTCCCCCTCCTCCCCATCCCAGTACGGTGCTCCTTCCCAGCCTGCTCCCTCTTCTCATGCCGACCTCCTGCACCCAGCTCCCCCTACGCAGGACCATCTACAAGCCAGGGCCCAGAACTCATTCATCTCAAAGAAGGACATAAATCAAGGAAATGAAATAAATGAAAGGACATTTATTGAGTACCTACTGTGTGCCCAGTGCTATGTTAAGCACTGGAGATACAAAATACGGCAGCCTCTGTGCTTTCTTCTGATGCCTCAGTGTGGTGTGGAGGTGACCCTAGGTTCTGGAAGTCTGTGCCAGCCCTAGCTAGAAAGGCTTGGAGGACCACACCAGGAATGTACTTTTGGGGCTGTCATTTAGGGCCCAGCCTCCATAATGGCATGGGAGCTCATCATTAGACATTTGGCCAGTAGGGAATTATTTTTTTTTGCCATGGGAATTCATTCATTCAAACATTTATTAAGCACACACTATGTGCCAGGCACTGTGTTAACAGCATATGAAGATGCCACCCCCACCCCTACCTTGCTAAGGCATGGAGGGGCTGCAATCTGTATTGGTAGAGGGAATAGCCCCAGTGGTCAAATAGAACACTGATCATTGTTATGACAGTGACATATATATGTATGAAGCACCTACTGTGAGCAGACATAGTCCAATGTCCCTTTAAGGCTGACCACCTTTGCTGGAAACAGACCCATAAGGGAGGCCCAGTGACTGGAGGGCGTGGGCCTCAACCGCAGAGCTGGGGACTAGATTTGCTTTTCTCATTGAAACTCCCCCAGTTTTTATTGGACTCGTTTTATGTGAAAACTCAGCTAATCTCTGGCGAGACAACCTCTTGTAAAAACAAACAAAAAAGCAAGTCTCGGAGATGGCCTGGCAGATGGGGAGATTGACTGGCGGCTTTGTGAGACAACTCAGTGCTGGGGAGGGATTCTGATTCCCTCCATTCTTTCTGAGGGCTATTATGTGCAAAAGCTGTCATTCATTCATTCCTTCATTCATTCCTTCATTGTAGAAAGACTTCGTTAGTACTGTGTGCAAGATAAATGTTTTTGAATAAATGAATGCACATCTGCAGAATGCTGTGCTAATTTAATTAGACCTGATCCATCCCTGTCCTTGTGAATTTATATTCTAGGAGACAGGAAACATACAAACATAAATATTTACATTATACCTTACGTGACCTGGGCTTGTCAGAGAAAGGTGCCCTGAACCACTACTGGGGCCTTTTCCCTCTACTGGCTGTTTTTTTGAGATGTGTAGCCTGTGGTCTGTGAGCTGATTTTTAATATTTTGATAGCTACATTTCAAAATAATTGGTTTCCTTTGTAAATTGATATATTTAAATATAATATTCTGAGAAGGGGTCCATAGGCTTCACCAGCCACCAGAAGAGGTACAGGACAAAATATAAGTTAAGATAACCTCTTGTCTACACTTACTTCCAACCTCCCAGGTCACATTCCAGGGGTTTCTGACTTGTGTAGTGCTGCACCCCTCCCCCCGAACATTGGCTTTTAAATCTAGGTGCAGTGGCACTTTGTGGAGGGACCCCAACTTCATGCTTCACTCCAGTCCCAGCTATATGTCAACACAGGGCAAGACCAGCCCTGCTCTTTGTCTGGCCCCTCAGAAATCCACTCAATGAGAAGACGGCCCCTTTTCACACAGCTTCTATGGCTGGTGGATTCTCTCTCTTTGCTGCCCTCCTGACCTGGAACCCTCTGCTATTCTGTCCCCTCAGGCTGCCTCTGAAACGAACCTGTTCACCCTTCTCTGACGACTTTGACCTTCTGCCTCCCAAGCAAGCAAAGGAAGATGATCTCCAGAGAGGTAGGTGACTGTTCCTCCACCCCACCCTCACCTCCCACCCCCAGGCGCCATCTAATAGGATCTGAGGATTTAGACCCGGAAGGGACCTCCGAGGTCACTGAGTTCAGTCTCCTCATTTTGGAGAAAACCAATGCCCAGAGAGGGCCACTGATTTGCCCACAGTTACACAGACAAGTTCTCTGACTCCAACCCCCATGTTCTTTCTAGCATATCATGTTGATCTGTGCCCCATTCTCTAAGAGAGGCAGGCTAGGACAGCCTTTGGTACTGGTCCAGGAGGGGCTAACATCTGATATGAGGGATGGATAGTAATAAAGATCTTCAATTATACAGCTCTTCAAAGCTTACAAAGTGTTTTATGAACATGAATGCATGAGAGGAAGGTGGAACAAATGATGTTATTCCCATTTTAGAGATGAGGAAACAAGTTCAGAGAGAGGTGAAGTAATTTGCCATAGTCACACTGTTGGTAGGTGACAAACTCTATCTTAAACTTAACTCCAAGACCAATATTCTTTTCAAATACCTTTCAGTCTTCCAAGAAATGTGTCATGCCCCTGGCCATGAGGGCAGTTCTGTCCCAGGGATTGGACAGACGGTGAGAGTTGTGCTTACCTTGCTTCATTCTGGGCCCTTTAAAAAGTTTAGGAGGCTCAAGATTTCATGGTATAGCAGTATAGTATTGGATTTGGGATCAGAAGATGGGTTCAAATCCCAGTTTTACCACTTGTCTTCGATTTGCCCCTGTGAAGGTTGATTAATCTCCCTGAGCCTTGATTCTCTCCCTATAAAATGAAGGAGCTAGAGGGAACTAGATAAGCCATACGGTCTCTCCTAGCCTTAAATCCACTAATCCCATGATCGATGCCCCATGTCTGAGATTATAATGGCCTCATTCTTCCCTCTCATGTTAACTAAAAGTTGCTTGCCGTCCTTTGCAGTCTTGTTATATGTCCGGAGGGAGACAGAGGAGGTGTTTGATGCCCTCATGCTGAAGACTCCAGACCTCAAAGGGTTAAGGAATGCGGTAAGGTCTTTTCAGATCTTCTGTTTACTTGAGGAGGGAGGGAGGGAGAGAACACGGTCCCCAGGGAGCTTGGAATGGTAGGAGGATGCAGGTATCTCCTCCTCCCAAGCCTCTCTTGTCTCCCAGATGATTAAATGAGGAGATCTGGCTACCTTCTTCCTCCTATATTAATCTTCAAATCTTGGGGTCTGAAGGCATCTTAGAGAACGAAGTGTTAGAATTAGATGTGACCTGGAAACATCAAATGTTAGAACCGGAGCTGTGATCAGACCGTAGAAGAGATCCCAGGGTCGTAGATTTAGAGCTGGAAGGGATATGGAGAAGCCATCAGGCCCAACCCTTTCACTTTATAGGTGAGGCAAAGAGAGGGAAAATGGCCAGCTCAGGTTTACAAAGCTAGCAAGTATTTAAGGTTGGATTTGAGCTTAAATCTACCTGACTCCAAGTCTAAGCTGACACCAAACTTCATCTCAGAAGAGAGAGTATCAGAGTTGGGAGAGCCCTTATGGAAAGTCAGGGCTGGGAGAAGCCTTAGAACAGAGAATGTCAGGTCTGGGAAAGGCCTTAGAACACAGGATGTCAGAGCTGGGAGGGGCCTTAAAGACCATCTGGTACATCTAGTCTATCTCAATCAGGAATGCCCATTACCACCTTCTTGATATGTTTTTTCCCATCTTCTCATGAATACCTCTAGTGATGGAGAACTAACTACTTCCAAAGGTAGCACTAGTGTATTGTTGGGCACACAACTGAGTAGAAAGTTCTCATTCTTGTATATAGAGCCTGAATCTGCCTCCCTGTAGCTTCATCTTCTGCTCCTGCTTCTGTTCTCTGGGGCCAAGGAAACTAAGTCAATCCATCTTCCACAGGACAACCCTTCAAAGATATTTGATAAGTTACCATATCTTCCAGTCCCACTCTGTTGTCTCCTTTCCTCCAGGCTAAACATTCACCAATTGTATTAAACACACATTTCTAAAGTTATATATAAGGCACAGAGCTAGACTCTGGACATGCCCATTTCCTTTGCTCAATACTAATATGGAATGGTTGTCAAGGGTCCCCCCAATACTGACTACTTTTACTAGATGTAGACCACCTTGTCAGGTTCCTTCCTAAAATGAGGCACCCAGACCTGAGCATGACACTTCAGCTGGGCCCCTAGGCCTGAGGCCCTCCCTCCTCATTAGCAATGCTCAGACCAGGCTGTCCAGGCTCTCCTTCTAGATGCCTTCATTCCATCAATAAAGTCTGAAAGCCACATTTGCTTTTTTCTCCCCTCTTTTGGTCTCTCACATACATTATTGACTCAGGTTGAACTAGCAACCCACTAAAATCCCAAAAGGTTTTCATATTTTCAGCTATAATGAAAAAAGCCAACATCTCTCTGATCCTATCTGGGGTCCATTAAGGTGAAACCTGAAGCCCCAGCTCTTCTGTGGCTCTCCCTGTTCCAGGGGGATTTGGGGAGCTGGGTTGCGGGAGGGACATATGAGGCATATTTCCGTGATGGTTATCTTCCTGGCTGCTATAACATTGGCTCTTCAGGAAAAGCACACGCCATAAATTCTCCATAATCTGATGGCTGCTTTCTGCAGGGCCACTGCCTTTGTTAGCTTTGCAAACCTGTTTCTCTGTAAGATTTAACAGAAATAAAACCAAGTGGTCTTGAACAGACTGAGAAGGAGCCATCCACAGGGTTCATTAACAGGGCTTAGCATGAGGAAGGACTTTCCAAACTGGGCTCTCCAACAATGAGATGGGCTGCCTCAGGAGCTACTGAGCTCCCTGACCCTGGAGGTGTTCAAGCTGAGGCTAGATGACCGTTTATTGGGGAATATACTATGAAAGACATTCATCCATCAGGTGAGGGATTGGATTTAATGACCTCCCAAATCCCTTCAAGATTAGCTGTGGAGCATGGAGTGTCACCGGCTGGTTTACCTGTCACCTGAATCAAGCACTACGCTAAGGGCTGGAGGTGCAAAGAAAGGCAAAAACAATCCCTGCCCTCAAGGAGTTTACACTCTAATAAGGGAGAAAACTTGTAAATGCATTCGTACATATAAGATATATATAGAGCAGATAGAAGGCAGCCTTAGAGGGAAAGGCTGTGCAGCTGTGGGAGAAGGGATGAGGTCAACCGGGAAAGGATTCTTGGAGAAGGCAATATCTATGCTGAGTCTTGAAGGAAGCCAGAGATTCTGAGAGTTGAGGTTAGTGAGGGAACATTCTAAGCATGGGGAACAGCCTGGGTAAAGGCATGGTGGCAATGGGAGATAGAGTTCTGTGTTTGAGGAACAGCAATGTAGATTAGTATGTCCAGAGTCATAGTGTATATGGAAGGGGGTAATGTGTAACAAGTCTGAAAAGGTAGGAGGAGCCAAGTAGGAAAGAAAAGGGGCTTTAAATGACAAGCAAAGCAATTGCTATTCAATCATAGTGTTAATAGAGAGCCTTTGCCATTTATTGAAGGGAAGCGGAAAGATAATAAGCATTTATTTTTATAATGTCTACTCTGTGTCAGGCACTATGCTATATACTCCTCCTCCTCCTATTCCTCCTCCTCCTTCTCCTCCTCTTTCTTCTTCTTCTTCTTCTTCTCCTTCTCCTTCTTCTTTTTTCTTCTCCTCCTCTTCCTCCTCCTCCTCCTTCTTAAATATTATCTCATTGTATTTTAGTGAGTAGAGGGAATGACATGATGAAACCTACACTTAAGAAAATTGGTTTAGCAGCTTAGTGAAGGGTGTTTTGGAGAAGAGAGAGATTTGAAGCAGAAAAACTCATTAGAGGGCTGTTAACAGTAGTCCAGGTGAGAGATGTCGAGGGTCTGAACTAGGGTAGTAGCTATTTGAGTAGAGAGAAGGGTACAAGAGATAGTGTCAAGTTAGAAAAGACAAGATTTGGGAACTGGATGGATACGTGCGGTGATTGAGAGTGAGGAGTCCAGGGTGACATTGAGTTTGCAAGTCTGAGAGACCAGGAGGATGGTGTCCCTTTGGCAATAATTGAGAAGTTCTGAAAAGGCCAGCCAATATGGTTTTAATCTAGTTATATAGTCTCATTGTCCCTGCTGATGCTGAGGGAAAACTGGAATATCCAGTGACAGAACTGAAAGAATACGGTTCCTCAGCTGCCCATAGCTACTTTGTCACAAGGAAAAGGTCCCAGGTCAAAGTCTAAAGGGGCTTCTGCTCTAGAAACATCAGTTCTCAGGCTACAACTTGGCATCTCCCTTGTTCTTATGTAATACATCTGAGCTGGGGCTCAGATATCACCAAATATTTTGCTGCAGTTACTGACTTGGGCTAGTCACATCACATGAACATTACAGAAGCATGAAAAGTTAGACTTAAAATGGACTTTGGAGCAGAGAATGTCAGAACTACCAAAGATCAAGGTCCCTTTGAACTCTGACATTTCATGTTCTAAGGTTCTTCGTAGCTCTGGTGTCTTGTATTCTAAGGGCCCTCCCAGCTCTGACATCCTGTGTTCTAGGGGCCCTCCCAGCTCTGACATCCTATGTTCTAGGGGCCCTCCCAGAGCTGACATCCTATGTTCTAGGGGCCCTCCTAGCTCTGACATCCTGTGTTCTAAGGGCTCTCCCAGCTCTGACATCCTATGTTCTAGGGGCCCTCCCAGCTCTGACATCCTATGTTCTAGGGGCCCTCCTACCTCTGACATCCTGTGTTCCCATTCAGTTCTATGGTTCTATAATCCTATGATTTTACCTCTCTAGTACTTAGTTTTCTAATCTTCATAGTAACTGGAAGGAATCTTCCAGACCATCTATAGAAGATTTGCCCAGGGCCACAGGCCCCACCTTCCTCCCAGGCTTATCCTGAGATTCCAGGAAGATAATGGATGTGAAAGCTCTTTTGAAAGGCATAGCACACTTTATGGATGTGGGGCATTGTTTTTTTTTTTTTAGATGGTGGGGTAAGTCTACTTCCCCCACTCTTCCCACCCATCCCCCCAGCCCTACCTCTGGGCTGTTAAAATCTGGACTTGGCATCATGCAAATGAATTCCTGACTGTTCTCTTGCAGATCTCGGAGAAGTATGGTTTTCCTGAAGAGAGTATTTACAAAGTCTATAAAAAATGCAAGCGAGGGTAAGTAAGTGCATGCAGGGAAATGCTGGCACCCACCTGTCAACCGCCTTTGGCCTTAACAAGGTTGTAAATCACAAGTAGGTCCAGCCCACTGGTTGGGACCCAAGACACAAAAGTTTTCCTTGTGTCCAAGTGCTTGGAGTTGGTGTCTTTGTGAGTGCCCAGCCTAAGAAAGGGTTCTGGAGGGGAGGGGGAAGGCAGTGGGGAAACAGTCCCAGAACCCACAAGAGAATGGGGCTAAGCTCACCAGTTACTATTCCACCTTCACCCAGTCTAATCATCTGGAAGAAAGAGAAATAGAGTCAGACATCCCAGTTCTGCCAGTCACCACTCATGGGTGAGGTTTCTCTGGGCCTCAATTTCCCTATTTGCAAAATGAGATGACCTTTAAGGTGCTGTCTCCTAAAGGACCCTTAGCTGTTAGTGTTTTCCCCTTGTGCCCCAAAGTTATCATGTACATACTTGGTATGTTTTCATGTTCTTTGTACCTATGTTCTAATATCTTATGTTCTGAGGACAGGCACTCAACCATTTTTCATTTGGTCTTTGTATCTTTCAAATGCCTATGATGAAGGGCCGTCTGTAGAGTAGGTACTTAATAAGTACTTATTGGATTGGATGGGATTCCAGGGCTGACATTCTATATGTTGAGACTCCTCCCAGCTGACATTCCATGTTCTAAGGTCCCTCCCAGCTCTGACATTCTGTGTTCTAAGGGCCCTCCCAGCTCTGACATTCTGTGCTCTAAGGGCCCTCCCAGCTCTGACATTCTGTGCTCTCAGAGCCCTCCCAACTCTCACATCTTGGGTTCTAAATCTCTCCCAGCTCTGACATTCTGTGCTCTAAGGGCTCTCCCAGCTGTGACATCCTGTGTTCTAAGGTCCCTCCCGGCTGTGTGTGACATTGTGGGTTCTAAGGTCCATCCCAGCTCTGTCTTTCTGTGCTCTAAGGCCCCTCCCAGTTCTGAGATTTCTTCCAATTTTTTTCCTACATTTTAAGGTTCTGAGTCTGAGTGTATGAAGGACTGGTGTCATTTTCTCCATGTGCTGAATGCACATGGTGGCTTGCCTGGCCAGAGTGGTTATTAGAGAAGAAGGTGCCTCCAATAGACTTTTCCAATCTTCAGGAGCTTGTCCTCACTCCCATTCTCCCCATTCCATGTAGATAGAGCAACTTCTAGAAATCATTCTGATAGGAGCCTGAACAAGGCACTCTGGGGGAGAAGAAATCACAAAGGGAGATAAAAGCTTGTTAGGATAGCCTGCCTCAGACTGATCCATCATACTCAACCTGAAAGAATTTGGGAGTAAAACCACATAAGCCTTAAGACCGACTGGGAAGGGTCTTGGAGATAATGCGGTGCAATCCCCTCCATTTTACAGAGGAGAAAACTGAGGCTCAAGTTACATAGGCAGTATTGGAAGCCCAGGAAGAAACTAGACCCCAGCACCTTTGACTATTGGCAGGTGTTGAAAGTGGGTAGAGCACTGGCCTCTAAATCAGGAAGACCTGGGTGCTAATCCTGCCTCAGACATTAACTAGCCATGTGAAGCTGGGCAAGTCACTTAACCTCTAATCAGCCTCAGTTTTATCATCTGTGAAATGGGGATCATAATAGCAGGGTTGTTGTGAGAATCAGATAAGATAATATATGTAAAATGCTTTGCAAACCTTAAAGTGTTATATAAGTGCCAGTTATTATTATCATTATCATTAGTCTTACAAAGCCATGTCAGTTGGGACAGATACATAACAACACTAACTGGAAAATCCAATAGACAATCAGAATTATTGGAGTTAAAAGGAATGAGACACCTTTGTAGACAGACTATAGAGTCTTCCAGGATATACACGGCTTCTTGTGTAGTCAAAGAAGGCTTCCTAGAGAAGGGAACTTTGAAACCCAAGTACAATTTGGAGTGGCAGAGGAGAAGTGAGCAGAGAAGGGAAGGACGATGACAGGAGCACTGGACTTGGAGTCAGGAGACCCCTGGTTTGTGTTGTGACTATGACACAACTAGCTGTGTGACCTTAGCTAAGTCACTTCCCCTCTCTGAGTCTCATTTTCTCCATCCAAAAAATGGGGACAATGATGCTTGTGTTTCCTGCCGCAGGGGGTTGTTATGAGGAAAATATTATACAAACCTTAAAGAACTATAGAAATATAACTGTTAATAAGGACTATAGGATTATTTAGGGAACAGCGAGGAAACCAGTCTGGGTTTAGGGAGGGGGGAGGAGGGGAAGGTTTCATTCTATAGAGTAGTAGGACATAGGGTACACAGTAGGTATTTAATGAGTGATTTTTAGATTGAAAAATACATTGGGGCATCAGCTAACATCAAATGAGAAAATGAATGCAAATTGCTTTGTGAACCTGAAATTACTATATAAATGTCAGTATTATTATTACCCGCCCTCCCCCTGCCCTTTTCTGCCTCCCCTAATGGCTTCAGTCAACATCCTCTGTTTTTCCATTGAAATTCACAGGTACTGAGCTCCCTCCCACCTTCTGTGCCACCCCCACCCCAAACCCACCCACAGCAGGGGTGTGCAGGTTTGGCCTCCTCTGAGCCCAGCCAGTGTCTGGAAAGCAACAGCCATTTGCCGCTAAGCCCCAATTTGCAGTCATTATGTGGTGGCTGCTGATTGGGGAATCATTATTTATGAGCGATTAACAGTAAATAATACCAAGTGGTTAATTGAAAGACTCTTCCCCACCCATCCTCAGTTCTGCCAGGACAATGGCCCGAAACTGAGATCTGCCTCCCTAAATCCCTCTCCTGGAAGATTCTCTTCTCCCACCCCCACCCCCTTCAGTCGTCCACCCCCAGCAGCATTGTACTCTTTTACTTATTAAGAGCCCCTGGAAGGAGCCCAGGAATTCTGCCTCCAGACATTGTCTGGGCCTTTTCCTTTCCCTTACCTCACCGCCACCCCCTCCCCATAATGTTCCCTGGGCTGAGGGCTGACAAAGGGTTGAGGGGAGGGGCTGGGCAAGGGCCCTAACCATCTGTCCCTGTTCTTTTTGACTAGTACAGGGAGAGGACACATTAGAAAATCAATAACAGCTTAGGTATAGAATAGCCCTTTTCCTGCCTACAAAAGCAAGTAGAAGAAAGAGGGCAGGTGAGATTATTTCCCATTGTACAGATGAGGAAACTGAGGCTCAAAACCAGAAGTGCCCTGACCAAAGTTACCTGGCTACCAAATGGGACCTGGCTAACAAGGGATGAGGTAGGGAAATTCAGGATTTTTTCCTAATCATTATAGCTCACATTGACATAGTGCTTTGAGGTTTATAACTTGCTTTCCCCACAACAACCCTGTGAGGCATAGATCTGAAGCTGGGGGGGCCCTCAGAGGCCAATTAGTCCCACTTCCTTATTTTGTGGATGAGGAAACTGAGGCCCTCAAAAATTAAAAATTATACAGGTAGTAAGTTTCAGAGGTAGGGTTTAAAAATAGTTGCTCTGACTCAAGAGCCAGGACTTTTTTCCACAGGTATTGAATTACCTCCCAACAAGTAACAGTATTGTCCCCATTTTGTTAGATGAGGAATCTGTGGCCTTACTCATGGCCACATAGCTGGTAGTTGTCTAAGCTGGGATTTGAATTTGGGTCTCCTTGAACCCATGTGGTGTGTGTTTGGGGTTTATTCGCTGGGCCATGCTGTCTCTTCACATAAGAGTTCTCAATAAGTCCATCTCCTCCCATTCACCACCATGACCATCCTTGATCACCACAGACCGCCAATCAAGGAAAGAAGTCTCCCAAGTAAGGGAGGAGGGCTTCATAAAGGCAGTCAGCAGAGCACAATGAGGACCAGGATTCAGGAGATAAATCGGTTCCGATTCTGGTTTTGCCACTAATTTGGTGTATGACTTTTAAGGAAGCTTGGGTCTCAGTTGCCTCATCTGTGAAACAGGAACAATTACGATTGCTGTGCCGACAGGCAGGAGGCAAGATTTCTTGAGATCTCTTCCAGTTCTAAGATGTACGATTCTTTAATGAGCTCATCACCAGGGGCCCTGAGAATGGCTCTGTGTGTATGTGTGTGTGTGTGTGTGTGTTTTGTTTAGTTAAGTTTCGGTTTTAAACTGGGGCTCCTGTGCTCACTAGAGCTGAATCAGAAGCCCAGCTCAGCACTGAATGTTGCCTTGCCCCAACAAGCCCAGAGTGACTTTCCCTTGGTTTCTTCCTTCTTACTTCCCTACTGTAACTCTCATCGTTTGGGGGCAGGGCAAGCAGAATCTTTAACTCTCCCCAGCAACTGGGGGGATAAAATGTGATTGATTCTGGAGAGTTCACAACGGGGAGGCATCAGTAGTCTCAGAGCCTCCTGGAAGTCCAGTTGGGAGCCTCCCTCCCCGGTCTGCCACCTGGAAGGTTGGCAGATTCATAGGATTTAAAATTGATTGGGACCTTTGAACACAGAATGCCTTAGCAGGAAAGGTACTTTAGAAAATCAGATGTCAGAGTTAGGCTAAAATGTCGGTGCAAAATACTCCTAGAACATAGAATGGTGAAAGAGATCTTGGACTGTAGAATTAAAGCTGAATGAGACCTTGGGACATAGAATGGTAGAGCCAGAAGAGGCCATTCTGAGAACACAGAATATCTGATCATGGACTGTAGAACATGGAATGTCAGAGTTAGAAGGGACCTTAGAACAGAGAATATCAGAAGTGGGAGGGACCTCTGGGCTCACTGAGTCCATCCCCTACATTTTCATAGGGATTAGGGTCCCATATTTAGAACTGGGATCCTATCCAGGCAAATGCCACATTTTACAGTTAGGGAAACCAGTGTCCCAAGCCCTTGCCAAAAGACATTTGCCATCGAAGTGGCAGAATCGTGATTCACCCCCACGTCTTCTGACTCTAAATTCAGTATTCTCACAGCTGCACACACTATACCACCTCTTCCATCTTTCCCTCTAAGTAGAGGACAATTACAGTTCTTGACCATATGACAGGGTGGATTTTGGTGTCTCTTGGAAGGTTCTACTGAGGCAGAGACACATTTCCCAGCTTGTAAGAATTTCTAACCCTAATTCTGAGCTGACCCTGACTGAGCTGCTTCAAAAGAGCAGATCAGGAAACCCCCCCCCCCAAGAAAAGCTTTTCTGAAGAGACCCGGCTGACTCCCCGCCCTCCCCTGGGCCCAGTTCTCTTTGTAATCTGATAAATAGGAAATTCTAATAAATGGCCAAGTTTATTTTCATAAAGCCACACAGCAAGTCCTCTGGACAGAGGGAGATACCATCAGCCTCGCAAGCATCACTGAGTGCTTGGAAGATTAACTAATACATTGTTTTTGCTGGCCCCTGGCCAGGTTTTTAATGTGAAGTGAGACAGATAGTAGAGTAAAAATGACAATCAGGTCACACATTATGCTTGCTGTTGCTTTAGGTGCTGGGGTATTCATACCCCTCTACACACATCTCCCAGATGAAAAGATCAGCATCACATTGTTTTCAGAGGCTAAACAATATGAGGTGGGAGGGAGACTGAAAATACAACCTATTGTCTCCTCCTGCAGTTCCCCTCTGCCTGAGAAGGGACAGGTTGGGGGTGGGGAGGGAGAAGTCTAGAGAGGCAAGGTTTACCCTTAGCAAGGAAGTCTTGACAGAAGGGAATAAGTACAGCTTCTGATTCTGTGACCCTTTAGAATTCACAGGGAGGCAATGTGGTTCAACAGAAAGATCAGTTGATTTGGGCCTCACAGGACCCAGGTTCAAATTCCTTTCTCTTCCCTAGTATCTTTTTGAACTCGGGCAAGCCACATTCCCTGTCTTAGCCTCAGTTTCCACATCTGTAAAATGAGGAGGTTGGACTGACTATAGATGGCCCCTGAGGTCCCTTGCGGCTGTAGACGAGAGACCCTGGTTGGAATCCTGGCTCAGCCATTTTCAGTCTAGGGGATCATAGACAAGAATCCCTGTGATCCTTCGCTTTCTCACCTGGAAACTGGCAGGATTGGACTAGGTGGTTTCTGAGGGTCCTGCCCCCTTGAGATCCTTTCATTCAATAACTCTCGCGTCAGTGCTCTTGTCACTATGACGCCGCCTCAAAGCAGAAAACGAAGCCCCATTTTGGCCGTGGGGGCCAAAGGCTCTGAGTTTGACCAGGTCCCAGAAGCTCTCCTCCATCTTTCCCCAGCCCCAAGAACAGTAAGACAAAGGGCCCTCTGTGAAATTGACTGGGGAGTAAATCTAAGTCTGATTCCGGGAAGGAAGCTCTTCTAACTGGCAGCGATCAAGCAGGATGCACATGGCTCTGGGAGCACCCTAACCCCAAACAGAGACCTTCAGCCCAGAGAATAACAGCTCTGGGGATGCTGCTAAATATGACCCTGCAAAGGACTCCTCCATCCCCAAGACTCCATAATCTGCCTAACGACCAGTTGCAGTTGAGAAGAAATTTCCCTCCTCACTGCTCACCAGGACTGTATGATTCATCCTGCCCATTCTTAGGCCAATGTGGCTCCTGTGAGAGCCAAGGGAAGGGAAAGGTCTGTACCACATGTGACAGTACCTAATGGCATAACAGATGAAAATGGTTTCAAGCTATGGGTTTGCCAACAGCTGACTGACTCCATGATCTTGAGCAAGCCATTTCCCTTTAGTTCCTCATCTGTAAAATAGTGATAACAGCACATGTGTGATTTGCCTCCTTGAGAGAAGCAAAGCAATTTGGAAAACTTAAAGGGTCACATAATGAGTATATTAGTGTTGTTGTTAGTGTTATTATTTTCTAAGATCTCTTCCAGCTCTAACATTCCATGTTTTAAAGTTATTTCCACCGCTAAGATTTCATGTTCTAAGGGCCCTCTCAGCTCTGACATTTCAATATTCTAAGCTTCTTTCCAGTTCTGACACTCTATGTTCTAAGGGCCCTCTCAGCTCTGATATTCCATGGTTTAAGATCCCTCCCAGCTCTGACATTCTGTGTTCTAAGGTCCCTACATTCAATGCCTATACCACCCTACAATTGTTAGATTAAGGCCGTTATGCTCAGTAGTCAGGAGAACCATCCACCTGATGAGACCCCAGAGAGGGAGAGAAATATTTGATGTGGTCATTGGGAAAGGGAGACTTTTCACCCTTAAGAATCCATGGGGCTCATCTTGAATTCTCCAGTTGCTACCAGCTTTAGAGCTTTAGTACTTTATTACTTTAGTACTTGACACGGAGGTCATTCTATCTTCAGGGTCTGCTCACTCTCTCATCTTTTGTTTTCCAGGATCTTGGTGAACATGGACAACAACATTATCCAGCACTACAGTAACCATGTGGCCTTCCTGCTCGACATGGGAGAACTTGATGGCAAAATTCAGATTATCCTTAAGGAGCTATAGGGCCCCAGCATCGCTCTGCCCTTGAACCTATGGGCCTGCATTTGACTCACAGAGCCAGGACGTAGCCCTAAAACCCCAACACAACCTCCTTCTATGCCTCACTGTTCTCACTTACTTGAATGCACTCACCTGGGAGAGAAGATGCTCAGTCTTCAGAAGCAGCCTTTGCAACTCCCAAGAGGAGCCTTTGCCTCTTTGGCGTTGCTGCCCAGTCTTTGATTCCAGAGACATCAGCCATCCCAGTTTGCAGACTATCCCCTACCCCACTCTTGAGAGCAGAACCTTCTTGCTTCTTGCACTGGGGGTGCCCTGTTGTGCCCAATGGCAAGACATTTTGGTTGGGATATTGGTAGTCTTGGCTTCCAAGGTCACTCTTCTGGCATCTCATGTTTGTCATCCCCATTTCCAGACAGAAGAACAGGAGGCAGATGGGGAAATTCCATTCATGCAAGAAAAAGACATTTGAAGCCAGACCCAGCCAACCAGGCCACACATGCCCCACTCATTGCCTCAAACCAAAGGATAAATATTGTTTCTCCTAAAGGAGGCTACAGTGGAATTCCTGAGTTATCATTTGCTACTGTGTCATTCTCTGATGCCAGGGTCACTAATTATCTGGTTAACGTTGTTACTTTGCTACTCCCTGATAGCCCATTCATAACTGAGGCCATGCTGCTTTTTGATATTGTTACAATTCATCATTGCTGTAATCTGACACCTAGTTGTCATTAGAACTGTCTAGGTCTGTTAGTAGTGTATTACTACCAGACATCAAGCTGAATTCACTAGCATGTTTTTACCATTACCAGTGAAGACTACTTTACAATTTGCCCTTTCTTTTTGAGATCATATGCCTTCTTTGGTACCATGTTGCTATTAGCATGGTGTTACTACTTAATATCAAGTCGGTAGTTGCTTGATATTATGTTGCCATTTCATACATGCTAATAGTTGCTGCCACATTGTTTGAAACTATGTTACTGGTCATAGTAACATATAATGTCTTTTGCTGCCATATTTTATTGGATATTGCTGTTGTATACTGATGCCATGTTAATGTGTGAAATGGTGCCTGATTATACTTTTGTCTATGTGTTATATATATATATATATATAAAATATAAATATGTATTGTGTATATATATGCAACATTTTATATTTTTCAAGGGGACATTTTTATCATTTCAAACAATGTGTTTTCACATTTCTTGGATTTTTTAAAAACTTTTTGTATTGTATTAGTGTGCCATTTAGTAATAAAGTACTGACTACATAACATATCAGAGTTCAATATTACTTCCTTTTGTAAATGTCTCCAGAAATCAGAGAATCAAGCAGGTCAACCTCATTTGATAATGAAACTTCTCTCTCTTTCAATCTCTCTGTTTCTGTCTCTGTGTGTGTGTGTGTGTGTGTGTGTGTGTGTGTGTGTGTGTCTGTCTGTCTTTCTCTGTCCTTCTGTCTTTCTATCCCAACCCATAAATGTTCCCCATTTTGAGGACTGATAAAGAAGTTTCTGGGATGGTCAGGGCAGAGATGTCAGACATGGGAAGATCTGAAGATTTGGAATTTCTACTTCATCCAAGGGGGTATTGGTTGTAGCTTTGCCAATAGTACCTACTTGGAGGGTTGCACTTTATAGGCTATGAAGCTTATAAAGGACCTCTGGTCCTCACAGCAACTTTGTGGTGAAGACAGGGAAAAGACCATTATCCCCATTTTGCAAATGAAGAAACAGAGACCTGGAGAAATGAAGCACAAAATTCACATTTTTATAATATCTTAAGTCCTATCAATCACTTTCCATGGAATAAAGGTGGGAGGTAGGCAATACAAGTATTATCATCTCCATTTTACAGATGAGGAAACTGAGGCTGAGAGGTAAAGGGACTTCCCCTTGGTCATACAACCAGAAAGTGTCCAAGCCAAAATGTGAATGCAGGTTTCCTGACTTCGGATCCAATGCTCTATCCACTATACCACGTACCCTCTCCAGGAAATGTAGGCTGAAGTCCTACCCCCATAGCTTCAAAAACCCAGGATAGAGGCAGAAAGCATAGGTGAGAGAGAGTTAGGGGATCTGGGTTCAAATCACAGTTCTGATATTATCTTGCAGTGGGACAGTCACTTTCCTTCTGTGGGCCCCACTTTCCTCATCTACAAAATGAGGGCAGTGGATCTCAAAGGTGCCTTCCAAGTTCAAGTTGTTATAGGATTTCAGACTGAAAGAAACCTTAGAAATTCTCTAGTCCAACTCTCTTATTTTACAGATAGGGAAATGAAAATCCAGAGAAGTATCTTTGCCCAAGAACATTTCAGGTTCTTCTAGCCTGGGTGGCAAGCATTTATAACAATGAACAACCTTTGGTATGACAGCAAAAGAACTGACTTTGGAGGTGGGAGGACCTGGGTTCGAATCCTGCCTCTAGCATCTTCTAGTTCTGTGACCCTGGGCAAGTCCCTTAACCTCTCAGCCTCAGCTTCCTCATTTTCAAATGAGGGTGACACTCATCCTTTAGGATTGTTGTAGGTATTAAGTGAGATTACATGTGCATGTATATATATATATATATATATATACACACATACACATACACATAGACCCATAAATGTGTACATATGTGTATACATATATGTATAGACATGCTTGTATACATAGTACCTTGCACATCTTAAAATACTGTGTCAGTTATTATTATAATCATATTTCTGTGCTGGATAGAAGGAAGTCCTGCCTCCAAGCTCATAACATCCTTTGAGAGGTACATGAAGAGACTACTGAGATATAGCCAGAGCTGAGGGGAGATCAAGGTGGGAGGAAAAGAGAAGACTAGAATCCCTACATCGGAAAGATGACACTGAGTCACCTATGGAGCTCCCAAAGTCTGCCGTGACTAACTGAATGTCAGGGATCTCCCTCCCTAGAGAGAAGGAGAAGAGAACAAAACAAAAAGAAACAGAGAGGGCTAGCAGGAAAACAGCAGAGACTAATTGAATGTCAGGGATCTCCCTCCCTAGAGAGAAGGAGAAGAGAACAAAACAAAAAGAAACAGAAAGGGCTAGCAGGAAAACAGCAGATGTTGACCTGAAAAGGATAGTGACTTGAGAGCTGGGAGACCTGCGTTCCAGGACCAGCCCTGCCACTCAGTCCTTGTGTGATTGTGGGGGAGTGACTGGGATGGGAGCCCCCAGCATCTTCTCCAACATGGGAATAACAACACCCACCGTCCCTTTTTCACATGAATCTTTGCAAGGGTCAAGACAGTTCCCAGATGTGATAATATTTTATAAACTATAAATCACTGTCCAGATAGGTATCATTCTTCTCATATCAGGACTATCTCATTGGATCAATAGGACAGGTTCATGATCTAGACAAAAGAAAAAAACCTCTCTGGGGGGGGGGAGGCAAAATCCCCAAGGAAAGGTCTTCCTTCCCTTTTCAGATATACTGAGCAGGGTGCCAGATCCACCTATTTCTTAGGGGAAGTCATAGTTTTAAGAAATGTACTTCTTAAAACTATAGGATGTTAGAAGCAAAAGAGGTCTTAGAATGTCAGAGCTGGGAGGGATCTTAGAACCTAGAATATCAGAACTGGAGGGCACGTTAGAGCAAAGAATGTTAGAACTAAAGAGATCCTTGAAAAGTAGACTTTTAGAGCTAAGGCCTTAGAATATAAAGATTAAAATATAAATTAGCAGAACTGGAAAGAACATTAAAACAAAGAATATTAAAGCTGGAAAGGGTCTTAAAATACAGAATTTTGGAGCATATAATATAGGAAGTAAAAGAGACTCCCCAGAAGTCTTCTAGTTGTACTTTCCTGCAAGTAGGAGTCTCTGGCACAGCAGCCCTGACAGATGGTAATCTTGCTCTGTCTTGAATACTTCCAGTAACCAGGAACTTATTACCTACTAAGATTCTAGTACTGAAACCTTTTAAGCAAATTCTTCTATCTAGTAAGCAGAAGTCCACCTGCTTGTGATTTCCACTATTTGCTCTACTTCTCCCATCTGGGCCTATGCAGAGTAAGCCTACTCCCTCTAACCCTGTGATGGCCCTTCAGTTACTTGAACCCAGATATCATAACCCCATTAAGTCTTTTCTCAGGACCAATTAGGTGGCACAGTGGAAGCAGTGGTCCTGGAGTCAGGAAGATCTGAGTTTAAATCCAGTCTCAGATACTCACTAGCTGTGTGACCCTGAGCAAGCCACTTAACCTTGTTTACCTCAGTTTCCTTATCTGTAGAACGTGCTAAAGAAGGAAATGGCAAATCATTCCAGTATCTTTGCCAAGAAAACCCCAGATGGGGTCACAAACCCCACACATGACTAGAACAATTGAATGACAGAGGCTACCATGTAATGAAGTACAGAGGGAATCAGCTTCAGAGACGCTTTAAAACAACCCTCTCTCTCTCTTTTTTTTTTTAGGCAGTTGGGGTTAAGTGACTTGCCCAGGGTCACACAGCTAGTAAATGTCAAGTGTTTGGTTTGAGGCCAGATTTGAACTCCGGTCCTTCTGACTTCAGGGCTGGTACTCTATTCACTGTGCCACCTAGCTGCCCCTAACAACCCTCTCTTTTTTACAGAGAAGGAAACTGAGGCCTAGAGAGGTGACTTGCTCAGGGTCACATAGGTAGTAAGGGGACCAGGTTTCAAACCTGGGTCCTCTGATGCCATATCCAGTGCACTATCCCCTGTGCCACACTGCCTCTCAAGAGACTGGGAGTAGACTCTTGCATCTCATTTCTAGAAGGAAACCCAACTATTCTGTATATGGACTTCAGCTGGCCTCCTGGGTTATCACCAAAATCCACATGGGGAGCTCTGTCCTTATTCCTCAGATTACTCTCTGTGCCCCTGAACTGACCTCTCCCAGAGCCCTGCCCCTCCAAATGGACAACAGTCCTGCCTAGGGGCCAGCTCACTTTATCTCTGTTCTTAATGACTATCACCTGCATCTGCATTCACTCGGGGGAATTCTGCTGTTGTCTCTTGTCTGGCTCTGAGCACTGACCCCAAATTCCCCAGAGCCAGAGGAACTGACAAAGGCCATGGGTGTTTTATTCACTTCTGCAAACATCTTGGGGTAAAGAAAAGAGCCGGGCCCCTCAAAAATCTCCCCAAAGCAACTTGTAGACAGTGGATCAGGAATGGCAGAGCTGCAAAGGATCTTAGATATCCCAGGACCCGAGAACCTCTAGGACCACATGATTTTATCCAGTGGAAGAAACTTTAGAGGTAATCCCCTCCAACCCTTAGCTAAAGCTTAGGCTTTCTCTGCAACACACACACACACACACACACACACACACACACACACACACACACA